TGAATTTAAAGTGAATACTGCACAAAGAATGAATGTCATCCAGAATTTATTTCTCGTCAATAACTTATGATTATAAATTTCCTGTCACCGACTGATAGAACTCAATAGTTAATTAGTTAATTCAATACTCCGGCCCGAAGAGACTCTGAAAAAAATCACGTATTTAAATGTGACGAACATTCTCTTACGAGGATCGGAGGAAGACTGATTTATCGGAGTATTTTCTAAACGTCAGTTGACTAAAACAAGAAGAAACAAGAATATTGTTGCAGCTGTCCCCTTCGAATTTTCTTGGAATTGAAAATTCGCTGAAATAATCCAAATAAATATCTCTCATACTTGGAGTATTGGTGTTTTGTGTGTTTTGTTTTCCTTTCTATGTACCAATACATGAGTAGAGGTCGTTTTATCTNTTGAAAAAAATCACGTATTTAAATGTGACGAACATTCTCTTACGAGGGTCGGAGGAAGACTGATTTATCGGAGTATTTTCTAAACGTCAGTTGACTAAAACAAGAAGAAACAAGAATATTTTTGCAGCTGTCCCCTCCGAATTTTCTTGGAATTGAAAATTCGCAGAAATAATCCAAATAAATATCTCTCATACTTGGAGTATTAGTGTTTTGTGTGTTTTTGTTTTCCTTTCTATGTACCAATACATGAGTAGAGGTCGTTTTATCTGAGAAAAATGACGGATTGATGAGCATTCAGAGGACGTCGAGCGTCCCACCCATCTTCGCGCGTCGCGCATCCTCCCGCGCCCACCTGGTGGACCATATTTCAGCATCGGATTGATGGATTTTGATTTAAAAAAATGATAATTATTTATTACACAAAAAGGAACAACTTTTGTCATGAACATTTTCTTCTATTTGCCAATGTTTCCCATAAAAAAAAAATCATCAAAAAAACCACTTAATTTGTTTATAACTATTAATTGCACGCACTTACATAAAAAATACCACCGGATTCGGATTTCTCATACCCGAAAACATAAGAAAACACCTCAAAACCTTACCGCACTAGAAGTGCACACGGGAAGGGGGTATTGCGTGTGGACTAAACGTAAAAATAGTCTGAATTCTCTAAGAACGAAGGAAAAAGGTGGGCTGAGGTGTATACACGGACACAGGAAGCACGACAGTAGCTGGCATTTGAGATTGCTCGGTCTGACAGGAGTGAAAGACGCGCCAGTAGCGAAGTGTATAAGCCGAGCTCCTCTCTCTCTCTCTCCTCTCTTCGCGTAGGTGCCACGTCGCCG